CCTATAATAACTCTTGCAAGATGCATTAAAGATTTGTACAATGTGCATAACAAGAACAAAAATACAAAGAAGTCAACAGAATCTCATATAAATATAAACTTTTCTAACAAAATTCAATCAAAGACAAAACATGAATGACATTCATCTAAAAAGATTCATGACGACCCTCAAAACCCTAAAATCTTCAACCRGATGAAAAGATGGTAAATGCTACATCAATGTACCAATCCATATAAAAAAGATCAAATACGATACTTCGTACCTCAAAATCCGTATACTGATAGTAGCAAATTCTCGAACTGCAAACAGAGATAACATAAATCGAAATCTCTTTTCATCAGACTCCAGATCTCATCCTTATAAATAGCAAATTCTCGAACTGTTGGAACCGATGAAATGGGATTGKGTTTAGGGATACGCAGATTAGGGATGGCGGTGGTTTAGATAGAAATCGAACTGTTGGAACCGATTAAATGGGATATGAATGGCGATAGAAATGGGATATGGATGGCGATAAAATTGGAATTGGAATTCGAATTCGAATTGGGATTGGGTTTAGGATACGCAGAGAGGGCAGGGTTTAGGATAGTATGCTTTAGGAGGTTGTACCTAAAGCAATAGAAGTTGTTTTTAAGAGTTTAAGAGATTAAGAGTTTTAGCCAAATGCATTATAAGATAGTATAGATAGTATAGATATGATCAAACGTAAGAAAAACTTTTTGTCTTTTTTATTTGTTGTAGAGAATAATAATTGAATGTATTTGCTTATTTTTTTATATATATTAATTAATTTCAATACTTATCCATTTATTTGAAAATTACTATGTTATAAAAATTTGTTAAAAATCATCAAGACTGAATTTACGATTTATATGCAATTAATTCGATGTTAAACGTAATAAATATTTTAATAATATAATTAATATTAATATTTTAAAACTAAAAAAGTGTTGAAATTGAACGTAATAAATTTTTTCAACACTTTTTATTTTTCTGTTTTAAAAACTAGAATAATAAATTATTATTGAGTAGTTTAGAATATTTTCAACAGATTTTTCAAGAGCATCTTGAACAGATTTTTCAAAATAGAGAAAATGCAAATTTTATTCTCTGTTTTGCCCTAACATATTTTTTATATTGTTATATAAAAAAAGAAGAAAAAAAGTGAAAACAAGTTTATAAAATTTTCTAAAATTAAATCAAATATATTCTCTATATTAACTATACTATATTATAAAACATTTGACAAAAACTCTTAAAAATCATTCTTTATGCATGAAGTATTGTTTATTAATACATATTACTTAAAATTTAAGACTACAAGTAAATTGTGCGTAAGTACAACTTATTAAAGCTCCATTTTTAAATTCGTATAACTAATAGCATATTAACATAATTAAATATAGAATAAACATCTCATTTTAAATATAAAAAATTTAAAATATAATTAGGATAATCATTAAGTTCTAACAGAATTATTATCTTTGTAAAAATTATATTGTCAAGTCAAAAATAAATTACTTCACTATTAACCCTAAATTAAATTATAATAAGAAATTAAATTAAAGAAATTATACAAAAGAATTTTTAAATAGAATTTGACATAAATATCCATGTACTTTTTCAAAATTTTATGATATCTTTAAATTTTTTTATTCAAACTAAAAACATTGTCTTTTCTCAAAACCACATAAGTGGTATTATATCAACAAAGACAAAAAATAAAACAAAACATTAAAATAAAGATGTATCTCAGTGCATTGCATGAGTATCTTTCTAGTTCTCTAAAATAGTGAAAAAGTTTAGAGTAGTTTTCTAAAAACATCTCCGACACATTATTATAATTTTATTAGAACAAAATTTTAAAATATTAAAAAAAAAGTTACCTTAATCTGTAATAGATTATCTATTTTAATTTCAATACACTTTAAAAAAATACTTTATATAAAATAATTATATAATATTTTAGTAATATAATTAATATTAATAACTTTAAAACAAAAAGTATTTGAAAATTAAATGTTATCTTAAAATTATAACAAATATCTGTGAGTTCTGACTTTGAAGAGTCAAATTGTTAAAATCATATTTATGGAAAAGGAAAGGACATCAAAGGCGTAGAATAAAAAGTAAAAGCGTGTAAACAGATTTATATTAAATATTAAATTAGAATTAATAAAAATGAAAATGAGTGGTGACAATAAGTATAGTTAAAAAGCCGGCCCACGTAGGTCACATTTGGTTTTGGCAACCCTAAATTACCATCTCACCCCTCACATGCATCCATCTCATTCACATAGCATATCTTCAAATATTACTCTTTTAAAATAATATAATATATAATACATATCAAATAATTATGGGTTCTTTATTATATGTTTATGGGATAAGTTTTTACCCAACCTATAAATCTTATTTGATAAAAGATAAAATAAAAATCAAGAGTCTTATCTGATAAATAAAAGTGATTGTTGTTACTTTTACAGAATAAGATTATTACATACACTGCTGTTTTGATAGTCGAAAAATGCTAAGATTAATGTGAATTTTAAGGATAAATATTTTGATAAACCATCTTTGAAAGAAATTTGAGGGGGAAAAAAAGGGATTATTATTATAATAAATAATAATTAAAAAAAATGAAAAGATGAGTAGTTTGTGTACTTGCAAGTTACAACACAGTGAATGATTCTGTTTTCCATCTGTTTGTCCATGTGGAAGGCCTTTAATTGGGTTGTTTGTGATGCACTCCACCCCCCACGCTCATTTATTTTTCTTAACATTTGTTTATCTTAAATTTTTATTTTAAAAGGTTATTTCATTCAATATAAATATAATGAAAATATGTAAAATAATTTATACGACTTACCAAAAAGTTATTTAAAATAATATTTCAAAAATATATATATATATATATATATATATATTTATGGTTAAGCTCTCAAAGAATATTTTGTAAAGTCATTATGTATTGTTATCAAGTTTATCAATTAGTGTTTATTAGTGATGACTAATTTATTAATTAACAATTAATTTATGAACTATTCTACTGTAACATTTCAGATTAACCGTAATAGATATTGTCCGTTTTGTCGATACCAAAATTCATGGTTTTAAACGCATGTAAAGGGTTGTTTGACAATGGGCTTAATGGGTTGTTAAGTTTGTATGATTTATTCGGTCAGCCGTACATTGTTGTTCATTTCTAGCTTATTCGCCCAACCGATGGCTTAATCGGTTAGACAGAAAAGTAAGTATAGTCCTATGGATTCAATCATTTATTCATCTCTTTATTTCAAGTTTGTCTTTTCACAGTTCAAGTATTGTTCTAATCTTCTGGTAATTGCCTACTCACCACACCCTACTCCCTCTCCCACCTTAAATCCACCGTCATCTCCACCCTGATTCAACCAAAACACAAACGACATTTGATTTTCTGGGTTCGTAATGGGTTGATGTTAAGCTTGATAGCAGTAAAAGTTGGTTGCAACAGTGGAATTCGGTCCCTGTACTTCGGCCATTAATTATTGGTTGTTGGTTATCTTCAAGCCTAACTATACGTTTCGACTC